AATTTCATATAAAATGTTTTTGGGCTGGATTTTTGATTATTTTCACCCTATCATCAAATTTCCAATTTTTAGATCTAGCAACCAAAACCCAAACCATTTAAAATTGGTTCAGTTCAATTTTTAGTCAAAAAAACCCAAAAGCTAGTCATCCCACCCATTAGTTATGGTTTTGAATGATTTCAAATTTTTTCGGTTGTGGAATTTTTTGCCCATCCCTAAAAGAAGTCTAGAATAGGAGGAAATTGGGAGAAAGAATGAGACTTAAAAGTCACTAGCCATGACAACCAAAAATAGGAGAACAAGACAAGGTAGGTAGAGATGGATAGTGTGAAAGTGTCTAGGCCACTTATGAACTTTGAGATGGATTTTGATATGCATTTGATAGATGTGTCTCTACAATAGGCTCATGGAGGTAAGATAGGAGAAAGGAAAGCAAGCATGAATAGCTCAAGTTGTAGGGGAAATGGAAGTGGATTAGGATAGGTGCTTTGTTTTCTTTGAATAAGAAGTTTAGTGCTAAAGGAAAGATAGCAAGAAATAATATTTGAAGACATGAGACATAGAAAGAGCCTCGAAGATCTTGTTGGATAAATTTGGAGCAACTTTGATTGCTATTCAGAGAGACTTTGATTTTTCTCCAAATTAGAGACAATAAGTAGGACTAACATCTAGTGGGTGGGATTGTCATTTGTGTTAGGATTTTGTTCACTCTTGAAGTTGGCATAGTAGTTGTGCTTACTTAGAACCTTAAGATGATAGTAATGGTAACTTTTATACTAAAGTGGTTCTATTATATCCCATACCATGATATTTTAGATCTTAGATAATAATGATGATTTGGGGTGATGATGTGGCCCATTTATTAACATAATGGAGCAATTAAATAATGGGGCATTTGTATTGGTCCATGATTTGGAGTGCCATTTGTCTTTCCATTTTTTTGGGGGTGGATTTGTCCTTACCCCCTATTTCGGATGGATTTGAGGGTTTTGCCATTTTGTTAATTGATAAGCCACATCAACAAAAATTTAATGAAGGGACTAAAAGGGGTTAGAAAAATAAACTTTAAAGATTAAAAAGAAGCTCTTTTAAGTTGAGAAACTAAAAAGGAACTTTGCACCAAATTACAGGGCCAAATTGGGGTTTTAATGTGAAGGCGACACTATATGTGTATATTCTGATTGTTGTATCATGGAAGCGACACAACATGTGTATATGACTCCTTGGATTGAAGAGTGAAAGCTGCCATGGAAGCATGCATTATCCTAAAAAGAGTGATTACTTCCATGCTTCATTAGCCACATTTTGTTATGATTTCTTGTTCATAATTTATCTTATGCATCCCATGTGTTAATACAATAATTTCATTAATTATTATTTTTATTTGTTTTATGTACTGAGAACAAAAATCGACTCATGCCAACATGGTGAATAAAATTTCAGGAAACAACAAATTTCACATATGTCAATTAATCAATGAACCATTGTTTTGAAACCTATCTCAACTGGTCAATTTAATTAATTGAACCAAACTTGGTTTTAACAACGGACTAGGTTATGTTAATAACCCATTTAAAGTTAAACTCAAGTTAAACTCAATGAAATTTGGTCAAAACCTACCCAAATCTAGTCAAACAAGGTTGACTTTTTTTGCATTTCTACATTTTTTTTT